TCCGGACAGGCGGCCCGGCAGGCTTTTCTGGCCGCCGGACCGGGCCTGCGGCAGCTCCCGCTCGCTCGGCTGGGCACTGCTGCCGGCCTGGGAGGCTCATGGCTTGTGTGTCGTTTTTAGGCCTGCTGGGACCAGGGCTTCAGGAGGACACCATGACCGGGAGGTGAGTGACTTGCCCCGAGATGGCTCTCGGTTCGTTGTTCCACTGAACTTTTGACAAGTCCTCTTGCAAACTGAGCATTTCTGAGAGTGTGTTGTTAAAGCTGTGGACAGTGATCCGTTTTCCTGTGGCTGCTCTCACTTTCCAGCACAGCTCCTTTACCCAATGTCCTGCTGGGTTCTCTGTTAAACGCCCACAGTTGTGTGTCCCTATTCTGAAGTCTCTGCCTTAAGCTGGTTGTAGCTGTTCATATGGTGTGCCACGCTTTCCCTGACCTGTCAATAGATGCGGGCTGTTAGAGGTGTTTTTGTTAGCACGGTGTTTGTGAACCGTCAGTGTACCTTAGAGACTTTCACATATTGTTTCCTTGAGTAAGAGAGCTACCGTGCCATCGAGTTTTCTTACAGATATAGGGATTGAGTATGTAAATGGTAGAGGGATTGAATCTGAATCACAGCTTTTTGTCTTAATATATATCTGTGGAGTTTATCTTCTGTTATGCATGTGTGGAAGGTAGAACTGGACAGCTTAGTTTAATATTGCTGTATTATGGGACAGTTGCTGGATGCAGCTGAGACAGTCATGATGTGTACATGATGCATGGAATGAGCCTTATAATTGCTTTACCTGTGTACTACAGACAGGTCTTTGTCGCGAAGAATTGTTGAGGAGTTTGTCTAATGTCACTTGTCCAGTGTATGTGGAGCTGTCTCTCTGGCTGTCCTTGTAGACTGCAGTTAATTCCTTTGAGGCTACAAATTAGCAGCAGTTAATATTTTCTCCTATAGCAGTTACTGCAACACAGGAGACTCAGTTTGTGGTATATAGAAAAAAAAGTAATGTTTACTCATCACAGAGTGTTTGTAGACATTTGAAAACATAACACCCACTAATGTTGAAGCACTTTGGGTTTAATATGAAGTCTGTAGTGCCAGAAGTTTATAACAAGCAGAGAGATACAAAGCTTTCGTAAATACTTCATGTCCCAGTTACTTAGCTTTCCTCTGTTGACTGAACATAAGGATTTGCAGTAATCTGTAAAAGTGAAAGCAGTGGAGTTTTTCTTAATTAAATTTCTACTGCTGTGGAAATAGTTTCTGCTGAAACAGCACATGATTTGTTTTTATGTTTGATACTTGGAGTGAATTATGATTTGTAAATGTTTTCAATGCCTTTAGGCTGTGGTGCAAGGCCATTTTTGCTGGCTACAAACGTGGCCTCCGAAACCAGCGGGAGCATACTGCTCTTCTGAAAATTGAAGGTGTTTATGCCCGTCAGGAGACAGACTTCTACTTGGGCAAGAGGTGTGCCTATGTATACAAAGCTAAAAAGTAAGTAACTTTTTATTGTTATGCTAAATTGGCCAACTCCTATATCAGCTTTTGCAAATGCCAGGATGTGAGCAGTCTGTTTATAGAAATTTTGTTAGAACAAAAATAAATTTGGCTCAATTTATCAATAGAATGTCCATGGAGAACTGTGTAGACCAGTTTAATTGGTTTGTTTCATTTTTAAAGTCCTTGATTATTTTTGCTTTAATTGGCCTATGTGTTCTTAATTCAGATTGTGAAATTACATGGAATAATCATTCACTGTTATAAATGATGTGTTAAGAGAGTAAATGGGTTGAGAAACAAATTTTGCCTGAGACTGGCAAACACTGAAGGAGGATAGAATAAACTGAAGTGAGGTGAATTTGTGTTGAGTACTCTGAGCTATTGAGTTACTCAAACAGCAGAACTATTTTGTGAAGCCTGGAGGAATTTGTATCCTGGCTTTTGCATGCCCCTGTCGGAGCACTGTCATTTCTGCTGTGCTGGCATTCGTGGAGGCCTTAAGAACAGTTACTTATTACCTTCCACTTAATTTTTCTTTGAGTGTAGCTGTTCGAGTTCAGCATTGCCTTGAATAAAATTGATCAGACTGTTAACTTGACCACCATCATTTCCATGATGGCCTATGGCTTTTCTGCTAAAGCAATTTTTAGCAGTCTATCCCTTCCTTTCCTGCCTTTGGTGTGTCTGGAGAAATCTTACAAGTGAGATGTTGCATATTCTTTGGCGTTGAAATTGTTGAGTTTTCGGTTTGATCATCTTAGCATCAGTGTTTTCCAAATTTTTAAGCTTCGTAACTTGTTAATAGTTCCCCAGTGGAGCTTCTGATAAATTACAAGCTGCAATACTTACCTGTTTGGAAGGTATAGTGAAAATCCCAGGCCTAGCAAATTTCACAGGTAAATAAAAGTGGAACATGGTCCAATTAAAGATGACTGAGGAATAAAGTTACAGAAGTGCCTTAAAGAGGCTGCATTGTCTGCCCCATCCCTGATGGGTCCTGTACAGAGCTGTGACTGGTGTGCTCAGCAGTTCTTTCCCTCTCTTTTCTCAGCAACACTGTAACCCCTGGTGGCAAACCCAACAGGACACGAGTGATTTGGGGGAAGGTAACTCGCGCCCATGGGAACAGCGGCATGGTTCGTGCCAAGTTCCGCTCCAACCTTCCTGCCAAGGCCATTGGACACAGAATCCGGGTGGTAAGCGGATTTTCACAAGAAGATATTTATTGGCAGTTTTTGGGGTACCTTTCAATCCCACATACTATGAGGGAAAACTTGAACTATAGTTTTGTTCTGTTGCGGTTGTGTATTCAGCATGGCTCTTTGATAAGTGCTCCTTTTGGAGCTAGGAGAGTTTTGTGGCTGGCTTCTTGTGCTGAGGGGGTTTGTCTCATTGTCAAAGGGTTTGTATGCTTGCTCAGCCTGGAAAGGCTCTTGGAGTTCTGGGACTCTTCCTCAGCTCCATTCTAAAGCTAGCTTGATTTCTCTTCCCTGGATCTTGTACATGTATTTTTGCACCCTTCTAGTCCAGTTCCTACCTGTTGACAGATTTTTTTTCTCCTACCTCCCAAACGTTTTAACTGAGGGGTGTACAGTCCTGACCTGTCTGCTAGGACCTCCTCCACAGTCGATGTTTTAGCCACAAGGCTTCAGTGAGGCTGTCCCTTTAGGTTCCTTGCCCAGAGTTTTGATGGAATACCTTTCTAGCGATGTTGTCAAAAGGAGTATCAGAGGGGATGCAGTCCTTCCTTTCTGTCTTTCTCCATGCCTTAGAAAAAGCACGGTAGGAGTGGCACAGTTAAATCCTGAAACTAGACCCGTGAGGACTCTTCCTGTCAGTGGGCAGGAGGGCTGACTGCCAAGGGAGCCTATGCACCAGCGAAGTGCTGCTTCAAATCACTGAACTAGCTTGCACCTCTTCTGTGTAAATGGGAGGATTGCTTTTATAGCAGTTGAGGAGAGCGACAATCTAAATTGTAACTGCAAAACTTCTGTTTAAAATAGTACAGTCCAGTAACAGGATTTCTAACATGATTCTATTCTTGTCTTTTACAGATGCTGTATCCATCTAGGATCTAAATTTTTATTGGAAATAAAATGGAGAATCTGTTTAATTTTTGTACTTTTCTATTTTTATCCTTTCCACCTATTTTGAGGGACTTCATTTCTTCTTTAGTAGCATATCAGAATTCACAGCACGGGATGGAGTAGTGATTCTAAGCTAGATAATGAAGTGGAGATTCCACCCGTGCTTGGCAAGGCATTTGTAGAGCAGACTACATTCTAAAGGCAAATAACTGTCAGCCTTTACTGTAACCTGTCTGTGCCTCCCATCATGGAATCCGAATGGTTTGCAGGGCTAAACAATAAACATTTACAACCTCAAACTGTGCACATAAGCTTTATACAGAACATGAGAAATAATTTCTTGCCTACGTAGTAGAGGGAAACTTCTTGTTCCTGTTTCTCTTGTACTTGGCGATGACTGCTGTTGAGACAAAACTGTGTAATGGGACGCTAAATCCTAGTAGGTTTAAGTCCTAGCTCGCATCTAAAAATAGCAGTTCTAGTATAATCACAAAGAATGAGACCATATATACCTGGGCAGCATTTGTGCCTGTAGCATCTACTGTATGAAATTTATTTAGACACATTTTCATCACACAGCTCTGTAGTGCCTGAGTATTAATACTTGCTGGTTTCCTGGCCAGCCTTATCACAGTGTGTAATGTGGAGTGGGCAGGATCCTTACATTAGACTAGTATATTGTTTTCATGAGTTCTTTAAGGTTTGTTGAACAAGAAGGTGGTAAAAAATGAACTTAAAGCTTCCTAAAGTGCAAGCCTCAAAGTTTCTTGGTACATCCCTCAAGAATACTGGGTAGTTTTAAGGGAGGTTTCAGGCAGCTGCGGGTTAGCATGGTTACTGCTGATGTCACAGTCCCAAAATGATCTGTCAGTACCCCGGATGGGTAATACTACTGATTCCGTGTAGTTGTTCCATCATTTGGAAAGCATCCCTAGTTGGTGAGGCAGGTGAGTTGTTGCCCTAACCTTCCTTTGGTCCCACTCCAGCGCAGGTCCCTCTTTCCCTGTGAGCAAGAGCTTCCCTCTCCCTGCCTGGCCCTGCTGCCTGCAGCAGGGAGCCCTCTGAGCTGGGACTGAGCTTGTCTGCCATCTCCTGCGGTGGGCTGGTATTTCATAACTAATCCTCTTCCTTCTGAAGGGGGTGGAGTAGTCATGTATTAGGATTGCATTATTGGGTAAATTAAGTCTTTCTTTTGAATGGCAATTCAAACAAAAACTGTTTGGACCTGGCTACTCAGCGCTGGTATAGAAATTATTTCACTGAACTTGGTTCAAGAACTACGCCTGCTGCTACTGGTGTCTCCAGCAGCAGGAGAGCACTTGCAGTGGAAAGTGCTTTTTTTTCTAATGTGTGGAGAGAAACTGCAGCTTATGGCAACCTGGGTCAAGTCAAGCGGGGCTTTAGTCTTCTGCAAGTACTGACAGGTTGTACACATAGGATTCAAAGAAGGATGGGGTGGAATACAAATTGAATTTCCCATTTGGGGCATTACCAGAGGAAGGAGGAGGAAATGTAGTGGGCAAATTGGACTGTAACAGCAGGTTGGTAGTACTTGGTCCCTATCATGTGGCTGGATTCTGCTGATAAGAAGGTAATAAGCACTCTTGAGTTTGAGGTAAGCGGCCCAAAAATAGTGATCCCTTTTCTCTCATCTTCTACTGTACCAGACTGCTAAGGTACAAAGCCTGTTCCTGGGAGGTCCAACATCAAATAGCATATGGCTACAATTTTTGAGTCTTTGTGTCAAAACTCTGCTACTTCCTTTCACCTTCATTTGGTCCCACCAAAACCAGCCTGTTTGCTTCTACCTGGTGGCTGCTCAGAGCAGCAGGTGTAGGCTGTTCCAAGGCCTGTGGGGTGCAAGTGTCTTTGCTATAGCAAACCCCTTCCACTCCTTTCCCCAGGAGTGCCGTTAACTGACGTGGGAGGAAGCTATGGCATCAGAGGAGCCTGCTGTCTGCTCCTTTGTGGACCAAACCACCTGGGAGCTCCTCAACCTGCTGGACATAGTGGGCAGGCGAAACGGACGGGTGCTGGTGATGGAGGTGGACAATGACAGTGTGAGAGCTCCCTCGGTGCTGTTGGATTTTGCCCAGGACCTGTGTGGCACAGCTGATGTCAGGGCTAAACTACAGCAGGCGGAGAGGATGGAAGAGGAGGAGGAGGTTCGGCCACATCTGGTTTTTATGCTGTGGCAAGCCGCTGTGCTGAAGCAGCTCATGCGGTGGGAGCACCTGGATGAGGCCCTCTGGGATGTGAGGAGCCTCCTCCCCTGCCTGCCAGATGTGCTGGTGCTTGTGATGATCCATCCAGGCCCCCAGGAGCAGCTGGACCAGGCAGTGGGAGCGCTTAGGAGGCTGCAGTGTCTGCTGGATGGGGCCTGGCAACTGGTGGTAGAGGCAGCGGTCTACAGCCCCGGCCAGCCTGGTGGTATCCTGGAGGCAAAGAGAGCTGCGTGTAGAGCACTGAGAGAAGTCTTAAACTGCCATGAAGGTATCCTGGGACATAGCCAAACACAGGGGCAAGGGACACAGAGGCAGGCTTTTTGGAAATATAAACATGCACAGGGTGGGGCATGGAAGGGTCTGAGGGACAGTGTAGACCAACATGATGTGTGGTGGCTGGGTTCAGATACAGGAGGAAAGTTAAACTAGACCTTGTGGGCAATGGGAGCTGGAAATGAGAGTGAGGGCTTAAGTGCTGGGATGGGGATGGGCAATGTGAGTCTGAGCCTACTGTGTGTCCTCTTCCAAGTTGGCTGGTGGTGGCTTTTGCTTCTTGCCCCAAAACACACGTGGCTGTGGAAACGCTGCTCGGTGTAAGAACTGCAGACCTGACTCCACTGCTGGGGCTTTCCGTGATTATGTTAACAGCTCCATGGTCTCACTGACCCTGCGTTCTTCATTGGAGGGATGTGCTAACTTTTTGGGGTGAGCTATAGGCCAAAGCTTTGACCAGGATGATGCCTGCTGTTCTATTATGTGCGTTTCCTCCCCTGCAAGTCGACTCCCAGGGTCGATTTATTGTTTTGCTCCCAGAGTTCAGTTACTGCTGTGCCCTACCTGAACATATGCCACATGAGGTATCAAAGATGGCTGGAGAATGAATTTCCTCGGGCAGCAGAATCTGACAGGTTGGTTTTAATGCTGTTCACTCTTTGTAGAAATACTCCCCTCCTGGTGCCTTGCTTGTCTGCCCAGTCCTTCTGCATGGACATGATTCAGTATGTGTCTGCTGCCAGAAGGGGACACTGTGCCCTCAGCATCACTCTGTCCTTGCTACAAAGCTCAGATTTCTTTGGCTACAAATCTCAGATTTCTTTGCTGCATTGGCTGAACAATCTACCCCAGGAAATTTCTATCAAAAATCACTGAGTTTCTGCTTTGCATGAAATGCCTTGCTCAAATATCAAAACGTCCCCGAGAAACCTGTTGGGCTGTCCCCAAGAAACCAGCTGTCAACAGAGAGGGAGTCAGAGCAGGCCAGCAGCCTCTGGATTTTAAACTGTCCCAAAACAGATAGTGAAACAAACTCAGAGGTAAGAGCTAAGACCACATTTTCCCAGGAGAGCCTGGATGCAGGGCTCTTTGGTACGTAGCTCCCATCAGCACAAAGCTCCTGAAATTCCCCAGGGTTCTTTGTAGTCACAGGATGGTGGGAGAGCAAAGTTTGCTGCCCCCTCTTGCTTATCGAACAAGATGCTGCAAACAAGACAAAGGTCCATCTCCTGTTGCACTGCTATTTGCCATTAGTGTGTTGGCCTTTCCCAAGATACTGTCCTTACACCAGAACAGTTGAAGGATCTGGGATGAGCTGTCTAAACTTGTTACACTGATCTGTGGGATCCTTCCCACCTACCGTGATGGAAGGACCTGTGGATGGTTTATGTGCACAGCATGCTCTGTAAGTCACTATTTCACAGACGGCCACTCCAGGCGTGCCTGGTAGCTCAGTGTGGTGTGTTTGGGCATGCGACACCTTGCTGTCATTCGTGCTGTGCTTTCATGCTTGCTGCCTGAGCAGCCCTTCAGTACGATGGGTGAAAGCAGCTTGCTGTACCTTGACCCAAACTCCACTGAGATCTGTAGATCAGGGTCCAAGTGCTGGCTTACGGAGGTCTCAGCACAGCTCTTGTGGGAGGACTGAGGGCGGTGTGGGCTGAACCCACAGCATGTATGGGGCTGAGAATCAGCTGGAGCGAGGACGGTCCTCATCTATGTGCAAATGCAGACTGACACTGCTGAGCCCTTCTGTAACAGGAAATCAGTCAGCATCCTCGTCAAACTAGAGGCACTACAAGTAAAACAGTACATTTGTGTTCGCTCTTTATTCCTGGGTAAAAAAAAAAAAATAATTGTGCAGATGAAAACCCAACTTTTAGCCAACTGTCAATTAAAGGAGCTGTTGCAGGCAGCTGACCTTACACCCATAAAAGTGAGTACCAGTAGACATCCAGCAGGTTGAATTACTGGGATGGGTTATTTTGGATGGGAGAAACTGTGGGAGCAGTAGATTACTTTTGTTTTGAAGGCCAATGGCCCATGTAATAGCTGAACTCATTTTCCATCCTCTCTGGCCATGGCAAGGCACTATGGTTAGCTCCACATTTTTGCATTGGGAGTTTAAATGTATTTCTTCTCTGGTTTTTTTACAGATCTTTTATCCACCTAAGATCTTATCAATCTCCAAAAGAAGTATTAAAAACCTGGTGTTTATTTAATTTCCCTGTGTGTCTGCGTGTACCTATAAGCTTTAAAGCTGTACATCAAAGACTATGAAACTCCTGCTGAAGCTGCAGGTTTGTGCAATATAGTACGGAAGGGGTGGGATTTGAGTGTGGTACAGAGCCTCTGAACCAACTTTTCTCAGGGAAAGGATCCTCCATGTTATTTTTCAAATATGGGTTCTTTCCACATCCTTAAGGACAGTGTGGCTTTACAAAGCAAAACAACCTTCCTGCAGGTGTTTGGATGGTGCTGGTGCTTGGCAGCCTCTTGGATTAGGTGCTGGTTCTGTGAAAAAAACT